TCTTTACTCCACTAAAACAATACATATAATAACTACATATTCACTTATATAACATATTATTAGCTTTTCAATCATATATAATATAGAAATCTACAAAGGGCAATAAGTAAATACCAAGTAGGAAGGTAGGAATATATATATATACATATTAATATATACATACATTGTTCTGGATCTAACTGAACTCCTGCGAAGCTGGAACCCGAACTAGCTTGTTTTTAAGTAAGTACGAAACGTCACATTGAGTACTGCATTTACATTTAGTCCAGTAGTTCACTTCAATTTAGTTTGTTACTCTACTGAATTTCAGAAGGAAATATTGTAGTTTTTACTCCACTACAATTATTTAAAAATATATAATGTAATGTAAAAAACTGAAAAAGGTCAATAAGTAAATACCAAATACTTATAATATAATATTTCTTTACCTAAAAAGGTCTAATTATAATAATAATAATAACAGAAGTACTAGTAGAAAATAAAGATATATATCAAAATATAAACATTATATATATGTATATAGACATACATGTTGTTAATAATAATACGAAATTATAAATATATACCAAATATCTCTTTCTTATAAATGTTTTTGTGGATTTGTATTTCATATTTTGACCCTTTAATTCCATTGTATCCATATGTTATGCGTATCAGAAACCCCTCTCAGTGTAGTGCCTCCAGAATTGTTGAATGATTTAAACCCTTCCTCCACCATACTCATAGTTCACTATTTAAACACTGATGTCTTACTCGCTGAGATGAAATCACATAAAACTGAATTAATTTTTAACACAGCTGCCTTTCCCCCCAAAACACACACAGTGGTTGTGACAGAAGAGATGGACGCTGCTGAGCGGCCATAAATGATGATGAAACGACGCCATTACAGCGGCCGTGTAAAGCTTAATGTTTCAGAAAAGCACTATAAACCCTGGCCATGAGACGGAGTAATGCACACTATGGGATGGATTGATATTCTAGTTGAACATGACAAACGACACTTTAAAGACGGCCCGCCCGCACGATTGCACTTCAACCGAGAGGACCACATATTTCACGTTCTGTCAGATGTTTTCCTTAATAACAAGAATCATCTCTGACCCTGCAGAGCAACAATAGCACTTAGGAACAGGAGAGGAGCTGTTGCATAACCAGCAGAGAGTGTGTGTGTGTGTGTGTGTGTGTGTGTGTGTGTGTGTGTGTGTGTGTGTGTGTGTGTGTGTGTGTGTGTGTGTGTGTGTGTGTGTGTGTGTGTGTGTGTGGTCTAGCATTACTATACTTGTGTGTGTGTGTGTGTGTGTGTGTGTGTGTGTGTGTGTGTGTGTGTGTGTGTGTGTGTGTGTGTGTGTGTGTGTGTGTGTGTGTGTGTGTTGTGTGTGTGTGTGTGTGTGTGTGTGTGTGTGTTGTGTGTGGTGTGTGTGTGTGTGTGTGTGTGTTTGAGGACGTAGGACAGCAATTATCAAGAATAGATAAGGAGAAAAAGACGGTAAACTACTGTACGTTTTTTGCGCTGAGTGTATGTGTGTGCGCGCGTGTGTGTGTGTGTGTGTATGTGTGTGTATGTGTGTGTGGTCAAGGGCATATCAGGAGTGTCTCTCTCTCTCTCTGGACTGACAGCTTGGTTAATGGCTAACATTCCTCCTCTCTTTATTCCCCACTTCATCAACACCCTCGCCTCATTACTGTGAGTAACACTGTACACACACTCTCTCACCCTCACACACACACTCCCACACACCTTCACAATGTCTCCGCTGCTGAGTGATTATCACAGAGACCCTCTCTGTGTGATAGAACAGGCTGAACTGAGACATTTTGATTTGAAGGATCTTGAAACAGAATCACTGTCTGCACCTTCTTCAGACAAGAACAAACAAAAATGGTGGACCAAATCTCGTCAGAGCGAGAAAGATTAATGCACATTAATATCTCACCAAGTCCTGGTTTTCATCATATTCCCAAGAGCAAATATTCTGCTGATGTTCAGGTGTATATCAGTATGTAGTGTCTCTACTTTAAAGAGTCCTCTCCTGCTGATGTTCAGGTGTATATCGGTATGTAGTGTCTCTACTTTAAAGAGTCCTCTCCTGCTGATGTTCAGGTGTATATCAGTATGTAGTGGCTCTACTTTAAAGAGTCCTCTCCTGCTGATGTTCAGGTGTATATCAGTATGTAGTGTCTCTACTTTAAAGAGTCCTCTCCTGCTGATGTTCAGGTGTATATCAGTATGTAGTGTCTCTACTTTAAAGAGTCCTCTCCTGCTGATGTTCAGGTGTATATCAGTATGTAGTGTCTCTACTTTAAAGAGTCCTCTCCTGCTGATGTTCAGGTGTATATCAGTATGTAGTGTCTCTACTTTAAAGAGTCCTCTCCTGCTGATGTTCAGGTGTATATCAGTATGTAGTGTCTCTACTTTAAAGAGTCCTCTCCTGCTGATGTTCAGGTGTATATCAGTATGTAGTGTCTCTACTTTAAAGAGTCCTCTCCTGCTGATGTTCAGGTGTATATCAGTATGTAGTGTCTCTACTTTAAAGAGTCCTCTCCTGCTGATGTTCAGGTGTATATCAGTATGTAGTGTCTCTAATTTAAAGAGTCCTCTCCTGCTGATGTTCAGGTGTATATCAGTATGTAGTGTCTCTACTTTAAAGAGTCCTCTCCTGCTGATGTTCAGGTGTATATCAGTATAGTGTCCCTACTTTAAAGAGTCCTCTCCTGCTGATGTTCAGGTGTATATCAGTATGTAGTGTCTCTACTTTAAAGAGTCCTCTCCTGCTGATGTTCAGGTGTATATCAGTATGTAGTGTCTCTACTTTAAAGAGTCCTCTCCTGCTGATGTTCAGGTGTATATCAGTATGTAGTGTTGGAAAGCCACATTGTGCGTCCTTGTGACAAAAACCTCTACCTTATCAGGCTTTTCATATTTGCGAAAGTCATTATTGAACATTTCCCAAACACAAATTATTCCTGGTGGGTTTTTTTTTAATTCTTCTTCGTGTGTTTTTAGGCAGACATCCAACTCTCCAATGGATTACCACCATGGAACCAAACAAACATGGCCGCTTAGAGATCTGTGATATAAAGAGAAACTGGCTGCCTTTCAAACAGCAGTACTTTAAAGGGATAGTGGAAATGGAACCTCAAATAGTTTCGTTTTAACTTATATACAAGCATAATTACGTACCAAAACAATCACACCTGATTAAAAATATATAATAATTGCCTTACGCATGTTAGAAGCACTTTATTGCAGCTTCCCCGAAGTTTTTTAGAAACGAAATGTTTCTCAGCCTAACCGGAAGTGACGAAAACTTAGGAAGACGATACGATAACAAACCATGGCGTCTATGCAGAATGAACGTGGAAGGGCAAATATACCAGACAAAGAAGAAGGATTGTACGAGGTATCCAGTGATGATAGCGAGTCAGAAACATCCTCTCGGCTTTCCTACGAAAATGTCGTTTTAGGAACTGAATCTGAATCCGGTTCAGTAAGCGACGATGGTGACAACATTGAGCCAGACGATGGACCATTACGTCCTTATTTGTTCGAGCCCGAGCCCGAGGTGATGGTTCATGGCATGGGCAATGGCGAGGATGACCAGGACCAGGCGCCAGATGATGCACCCCTACGCACAAATAATCTTGACTGGTAGGTCCTAAGCATAGCTCACGCATCTTAAGATCACCTGTAGCCTTTACAAATATTAATCATTGTTAACCAGTTAAGGCCGAAGGTCCCCCCCAGTGGACCCCTCCCACCGTTTTTTTTCTCTCACATGTCTCAGGGCTTCTTAACATTTATGAAACTATTAATGTTTCATACCCTTTTAAAGGTAAGAAACTCCGCTAACTGACAATAAGAACAATTGTTAGCTAGAAAAAACACAAGAGTAATACCAAGCCTTTGAATTAGCATTGAGCGAAACAATGCTAACTAATGCTAACGCTTTTTTACACACAACACACGGTAGAAATGCCCTTATTACTATCTTAACTGCACAAACAAGATATACGATTTAAAGCTGAGACTCCACAGGTGTAATGTCATCACTGTAAGACCTCGAATTCCTGGAGCTATCAGCCAGAAAAGAGAAAGTAAACAACATCCGGTTCCAAAAATATTACAATAATTACGTCTTACCTTTTTTGATTTGTGATCAAAAGTTGTGTTCAACGGAATAAAAACGCATCTCAAGGTTAATCCAATGTCGTTGTGTCACGTATAATTTTTCTGTCGCACTACAGCCATACAAAACACATCTATTCACCATAATAAAGGTCGGCTATTCACATGCAAATGCTATTGAATGTCCGCCATTGTTTGTGCCCGTCTTCCTGAGCTCTCGTCATCACCCGAAGATTCCCGACGATTCCAGAAGTATTTCGTTTCATTGAGAGGGCGCAGTAAAATTGAAAATAAAATGAAACTAGGCGGATGAAATTTAAAAAAATTGTTTAATATGCTTCTTTTTAATAAAAATACATAAGTTAAACCCAAAATTCGCGGATTTCCACTATCCCTTTAATGAAAGCAGAAATACTAAAATCCTAAAATACTCCCTCACATGTAAAAGTCCTGAATATACAAAGTTACTTTAATAGAAGTATTATCAGCAAAATGTACTTCAAGTATCAAAAGTCATTAGATTTTTGTTTTTATATCAGTGTTAAATATTAGGTAGATTAATATAACTAAACTCCTACACATCATAGTGCTTTTTAATATGTAAAAAAGTAGCTCATTACTCTGAGTTTTTAATGTATTGAGGAGAGTTAAAAGTACTACGAAAATGTAGTCAAATAGAAATATAATGTAGCATAACAAGGTCAAGTATGTCATCTCAAATACATTACACCACTGCAAAACCCCAAATTCGTACTCAGTCAACATAAAGCATAAAAAAAGCTTGCTAAAAAATCCTCAAAGGGTGTGTACGGCATACTGCAGAGTCCACAAAAAAGGATATTTTACAGATATGTGAGTTTTGAGAGGTGTTTCAGGGGGGCTCAGGTGCCGCAGCGAGGCGGTGATAATGGGCTGTCTCTTTCTCTGTCAGAATAAAAACAACATCAGTCAGGGGGAAAAAAAACCTTACCTGCAACGTTGGCCACATCTGTGGTGCTGACGTTCTGACGGTTGGGGCTCACTTTGAAGGTCACTGCGGGCCCCACCACCCTGCAAAACAAACACACACACACACACATTAACACACACTCCAGAATAAAAACCCACTAGTGTCTGTTTTTTCCCTCAACACCCTAAAAACAAACTCTTAATTGTGATGTGATTCACAATATTAAAAAGGGACGGGACTTTTTAAAACGTTAGCCACATTAAAATTGAAACAAATAGTATATTTACTTGCACATCTCAAACCATTCTCTTGCACTATTTTATCTGTTTTATGTCCTATATATATATTCATGTTTCACTATGGGAGGAGCCTGTGACTTCAGTTTTTCATTGTCATATCTAGTACTACACTGTTGCTAATGTGCAAAAGACAATAAAGCCTTGAATCTTGAAATTGATCATGGTGTCATTTTTTTAAAGAGGATCTGTAACAAGAAAATGTATTTGTTAAGTTTTTAGAAATCAGATTGTAAGCAGGGACTTCAAAATGTAGTAGAGTAGAAGTAGAAAGCAGTAAGTAAAACATCTTAAATGTATACTTAAGTACAGCACTTGAGTATGCGTAAGACCTTCCTTTTAAACAAAGCCTATAGTCTATTTTATTGTATTTCTTTCATTTTGTTTTACTTGTATTTGTTGTAATTTGTACATTCTTATTTTGACATTTTACTATATTACCTTGTATATTTGACCATATATGTTGACATGGTCATTCCTGTTTGCTTATCTGTAAAGCCTCCTTTGACAAGTGTGCTTTTGTGATATTGGTCTTTTTAAATCAAATGTTATTTAATTATATTAAATGTAATTTTCTCCATTGCACTTCTGGTTATTTTGCAGACGGAGGGGGGGGGGGTCATTAAAGCAGTCATCAAAGCTCATCCAGACATGTCTTTAACCCCGTGGCGATCCTTTAGGCTGTTTCAATCCCATCACCACTGCGAGATAACCTCTTGAATCTCAATGTAATGCACCCGGCGGCATTTAAAGCATGCTGGGAAATGAAGAAATAGGGGGTCGGAGATGAGGGGGTTTTGGTCATCAACAAGAGGACGCTGTGAACGTGGTTTTCAGATTTCAAAAAGGCATTTCCAGCACCCTGAACACATTTACATTTTGATTCAACGTTTACTGATTGCACGTTGTCGTGATGGATGCAAATTGAGTACATGTACTTTCCGGCAGTGGCTCAGTCAGTAGGGGCTTGTACTGGGAGCCGTAGGGTCGCCGGTTCAAGTCCCCGACCAGACCTAAATATGGAGTGTGGACTTCTACTTGGAGAGGTCCCAGTTCACCTCCTGCTCTGCCGTGGTGCCCTTGAGCCAGGCACCGGACAATCCCCTTCCCCCCTCATTCCCATTGCTCCCCGGGCGCTGTGCAATAGCTGCCCACTGCCCAAAGCAGAGAACACATGTCACTGTGTGCTCTGCCTGGTGACCATTAAAGAGGGGTTCATCCCTCCGATTATATATACATTTACTCACATTCATGTACTCTACTTAATATGTACTTAAGAACACGTTTTCAGTACTTAAGATAAGATAAGATAGTACTTTATTGATCCCAATTTGGGAAATGTTTGTGTTGTAGCAGCATAAAAAGACATGGCATTGTACAATACAAATTAAAAAGACTAGAAATAAACAATAAAGTAGAAAATATACATTTACAAATGTGTTGGATAAAAAGGGGGAAAACACCTAAACATCTGCCCATATTTCTCTAGTTGTTGCTGCCCCACTTCCCTTAAAAGTGGTAGAAGTATTCAGATATGTAACCTTAAGGAAGTTATACCACAGTGCAGAAATACTCTGTTACAAGAGAAAGAGTAGTAGCAGCTAAAACGGCAGAAAAGAGAGACCAATGAGCAGAAATTGGACATTTTTCTCCATGATCATCCAACATCCATGCTAATAAAGCTTGAATTGAAACAGCGAGGCGGAGTCTGGGTGGTCGAGGCAGCGCGGGGTCTCTCAATGTGATTAACCTTTTGTTTTTGCTGCTGTAATTCAGAGTAGAGGCGCAGCGGGAAGATATATCACCGCGCACCGCTATAGGAAGTGGAACAACAGCAGGGTAAAATATGGGGACATCATTAAAGGAGCAGGTCCCATCCTGAAGCAGAGAGAAAGTTAATGTGTTCAGGGGCTCAGAAAAAGTTTTCGGTTTCAAGTTGATTTAAATAGTTGTATTGTTTTGAGGGGTTTGTGCCGGCTGTGGGGTCTTTGGGTTCAGGACAACAGGAACAAGGAGGCCCATTTTAAATTTAGGCTGAAGGAAAATAGGAATAATTAAAAGAGAAATACAAAAGAAATGAAAACGGTTAAACCCATTGCTTAGATTTCTATATTCAAACACTGCTATGTGTCTTTTTGAACTTTGCACAAGTTGTTTTAAATACATTTTTACATGTTTACGGTTAAACTTTTAATTAAGTATTGGATGATATTCGATGCTTCAAGGTCACGACGAGGGGAGCATGTGACATTTCGAGTTTTTAACATGACTGATTGCAATTAGCAGTTTAATGTATTCATGTTTCCAAAGTTAAAGGCGCCCTATTATGCTCATTTTTGTTTGGCCCCAAATGTTTTGCATTATTCCAGATTAGTAGAGGGATTACATGCTCTTTCACAAAATGATCTCTAATCCTCCGTCTAAAGTCGTCATGTCCTTGAGCTCGAACACAGCTGTCACTCACAGATCCTGAAAAGTTTACAAGATAACGCCAAAACATTTGTATTTTGTTTAAACTCGTTATGAAGCTCTGGATAGCGTATAGAAGTGTCCCATTGCACATATCTACATTCTGCTCATGATTGTGACGTTTCTGAATACAATTATTACAAAATAAACATGTTATCCTTTATCTAAATGTAAGATTTCTTTAAAAATATACAAGGTTACCAAACATCACATGAAAAAGGACATAATTAGCTCTTATGGAAATTGGGTTATATATTAAAAAAAACTAATATTTTCTGCATGTCGGGTCTGTGTGTTTTAGTTCTTGGACCTAGTTATCGGAAATGTGTGTGTGTGTGTGTGTGTGTGTGTGTGTGTGTGTGTGTGTGTGTGTGTGTGTGTGTGTGTGTGTGTGTGTGTGTGTGTGTGTGTGTGTGTGTGTGTGGTGTGTGTGAGAGAGAGAGAGCGAGTGTACGACGTTAGACGCAGGATTGGAGATCATTTTGAAAAAGAGTATCGCGGGAAGTCATATTTTATATTATGTGTGTGTGTGTGTGTGTGTGTGTGTGTGTGTGTGGTGTGTGTGTGTGTGTGTGTGGTGTGTGTGTGTGTGTGTGAGAGAGAGAGTGAGTGAGTGTGTGTGTGACTGACATTAGACGCAGTATTTGGAGATCATTTTGTAAAAGTGCAATGTTGGTAGAAATATGTAATAGTGTATGTGTGTGTCTGTGTGTGGGTGCGCGTGTGTGCGTGCGGGTGTGTGTGGGTGTGTGAGTGTGTGTGTGTGTGTGTGTGTGTGTGTGTGGGTGCGCGTGTGTGTGTGTGTGTGTGTGTGTGTGTGTGTGTGTGTGTGTGTGTGTGTGTGTGTGTGTGTTGTGTGTGTCATCATACTGTCATGTCCCTGCCTGTATTAAATCTATCCGAGTCCACCTTGGGACACATTTGCTCCCCTTTAGAGGCGCTCTCTCTCCTCCTAGTGGCGTCTCTTTGACACGACCTCTCAGACTCAGACATTACATCACCTCGACCCTCGTAAAGAGGAATCATGCAGTCTCTCCTCAGTGATGGTTACGCAACAGCCGTCATTATTCTGCAGCTACAGTCAGACGCTCTGCCAACCCTCCCACATAAAGCCTCACCCTCCACCTCTACACACACTCAAAACACACCCAAGGGCTTTTTAGATAAAAAGCGTTCAGCGTCAATTCTGGTTGAAGAAGTACTCAGATAGAAATGCTCTCATGTACCAAAAATACAACGTACCTGTCGTGGCAATAGACGGTATATGGTTGTGGCACATATGCAATTATTTAATATGATTATGGACACATTAATGTATTTTCAGCTGGGAAAAGGTGGAGTTAGTCTTATGACTTTGTTAAACTGCTGGTGGATATTTTAACCTATAATATCCGTCAATGTTTATTCAGCTAATAATCTGAATTTGTCATGGTTTTGGATTTTTGTTTTCACTTTCCACCTTTTTGTTTTGACATGTTTTCATCCTTGTGTCTGTCTGATCCTACTTCCTGTGTTTGACTTCCTGTCGTTAGTTTCCCTCCTGTGTCTGATTGTCTGATTGTGTTCACCTGTTGCCCTTGTGTTTCTGCCTCCCCTGCCAGCTGTGTCTTGTCCTGTGATTACCCTTCTTGTGTATATAAGCCACATCTCAATACCCCTCCTCGACTCCTCTCTTCCCCTCCTCCGGGACTTGACCCGGAAATCGATCAAGACACGCCATTTTGAAGGACGTCCCAATGCAAATGCACACGGAGGAGTCGAGGAGGGGTGAGGGAGGAGGGGTGCGGGAGGAGACGAAAGGGAGGATACATACGAGCAGACTACGCGGAAGTGTTTCCACTACTCGCGTATAAAAGCCTCGCCCCCACCTTCACAGCTGGTCCATTTCAACAGAGGAAAACCGAAGAAGATGAGTGGAAAAGCGTCACATAAATGTATAAGTGCTCACAGCTCCGTGGGAATTATTATGTGCAATTCATTTCTAAAAGGCTTCACATTACTATAATTATATTTTTATTTAAATGTAGGCTACATTTTACACCAAAACGGAACACAAAAGCAGGACCAACCACCATTGAATTCCTTGACTAACAAGAGAAAGATTCATTCACTTAAATATTTAACAACAAATGGGCCGGTTCTAAGGGGTTGATGAGATGAGAGGGGATACAGCTGTGCACATGTCATCATTAACAGACGACGTTTGAGTGAACGAGGCCATCCCAATTAATACCTGAGGACTCCTCTGTCCTCGCGTCACCTCCTCGTGTCTCTCGGTCGCATTTTACGGAGGCGGAGCTAAGACGCAAGGAAGGGACGCGAGTGAGGGAAAGGAG